GATCTGGACTAGGTCTGTGAGTTTTTACTTCTTCATTTGTGAAGGTTTTTTCCACGTAAAATATGTTTGTGTTCTCTTTCTCTCTCTCCTGTTTGTGTTTTTGTTTTCCGCTGCGCTGCCTGACCTGGTGAAGTTCAGGTCAAGGTAATTGCCGAGATCCGAGATCTAGGAACTTGTTGATTGACTTCCGCGAAAAGGCTGCTTAGCGGAGTTTGAGGGAACCGAGTTCATGGGAAAAGTATTTTTCCAAGCCGGAGATAAAGTTATCTCCAGTGAGCCCAAAACGACGTCATTTTGGGTTTTAAGATTAAAAAATTATAATAATAAAGACTAATATAACCCTGTAATAAATTAAAATTACAAAAATACCTTGATTTTCGCTACAAAACGACGTTGTTTTGGGCTCACCGGAGATAATTTATCTCCATTGACTTGAGAAATCCTTTACCCAATAATATTACTTTCGAAAAATAAACTTAATTTTACTTTTTTATGCGCTCATCTAATAAAACATTGTCACGGTTTTTACATTATTTAATTTCTCAAGTGGATGTTATACCAAAATATTACAAATAAATGACCAAAATATACATTATTTTTAAGGAGGTTATACTCATCATCCTTTTTTCTTATCATATCTTACTATTAATTTTGTTATCGTTGGATCAAAATTAAGTCATTAGTTACAAAATAGCATGAAGTAGGATTCATTAATTTAAATTTGATCTAACAATATAAAATTGATTATAAGAGGTAGTAAGAAAAAAGTGGCAAAAAAAACCTAGGAAAAATATTTTTCGAGTAACTGGAGATAAAATTATCTCTAATAAACTCAAAACGATGTTATATAAGAATTGCAAAATTAAAAAATAAAATGATAAAAATTATTATAACTACGAAATAAATTAAAATTATAAAAATACTTTTTTTCTCAACTCAAATCGATGTCGATTTAAACTCACGAAAGATACACTAAACCCTATGCCCATTTTTAATAGTTAGTTAATGTATCATTTTTATATTTTGTTGTTGTGTAAATTAAATATTTCTCCGTTCATTGCCTCGTTTCGTGTTAGCTTTCTGCAACATTGGCAGCACCGCTTCCTTCTCAGTAGAAATATTTTTATGGGAATTCTTCAAGAAACTTTGACCGGCAGAAAAGATTTAGATTAGTAAGGAAGAAATCAAAACCATAACATCTTATTTATTAATTAGCGCATTCATACTGTTCAGAAATTGAACCCTACCACGGCGACCAATCCAGTGTAATTAGCAATTTGAACCAGAATCTAACCAATGATAACAACCAATTTGAACGTAATTATAGTCCTACACAGTGTTGTCGTGCCAAGATGTTATGTTGTGATTATTACGATTTAATTTTTTATTTTATATTTTTGCCCTCTGTCCTTCTTTTCCTTGTTTGTTAAGCATTATTTGAAAGGGTAAAGAGTCTCTAGCTAGGGGCTCCAGAGATAGTGTCTCTATCTCTTGTGATTATTGGAGCCATCCAAGATACCTAAAGTGTTAGTAAAAAGATAGTTAAAGTTATTTTTCATTAGAGTATTGGTAGTTTGGTACCCCCATCCTACATAACCTACAGAGCAACCCCTTTTTCTGAGATGCTTGCGGAGTTGTTGAAGAGGAAAGTTAAAACAAGGATAGATTTGAATCAAAGACTATATGAATGAAATTACTTCAGGAAAAAGAATCTTACACGTCTTAAAAATATAGTAGTAAAAGAAAAAAAAAAAAAAAGTAACTCGTATTGCTTCTTTTTTTTTAAAATGGTTGAACCTCAATTATAGATGATTGTAGATGGCTGAAAAGTCATGACTCATTTTCGTTTTATTATTTGATAAAAATGATAAAGATCTCACCCACTACAGGATCACATGCGTTCTACTTAATCAAAAATAAAAATAGAAATGGAAAGATAATTCCCTTTATTGTCCTACATGATTGAAGTGTGGAGAGAGCATCACATGGATTCTTATTACATATAAAATGCTATCATAATTTAAAAATAAATATTAGGTGCGATATGTGGAAAATATCTGAGATTTGCGATACATGGTACTATGGTAGTACTGAAGTTGTTTAGAAGTGTGACTACCCAAAAAAAAAAAACTTTGTTAGGAAGTGTCAAAAATAGAAAAATGACACGAGTCAATAATATTAATGTTGGTGACATGGAACGATACTGAAATCACCTTAATTATTTGAAAGGAAATTTCCCAAATGTAATCATATAAAATTATCAAAAGCAAATTTTTTGTTAATATAGTGTCGATGTTATATTAACTTTTGACAATACTTGCACTGTCATTGATAATATTGATTTTGGTACTATCTTATTGAAGGAATGTTATACAGAGCCGCTTATAAAGGTGCCAGGCAACAATACTGAATTTGTTGTAAAAATGTTTAGAAGGTTTGAATTTTTAAAGGAACAGTTGTAAGAGCTGTGTAGGGTCAATATTGACACAAGTGTACAATTTTCTAAGAATAAATTTTTGGTGCAACACTTATATTGAGATTCAATACAACCGACTAAATCACAGTGCAATTATTACACCAAAAATTTATTTTTTTTCTAAAAGAAATAACTGAATTTTACTTGTGTTTTACCCCATATATGGGGAGTGAGGCAATTATTTTATTTTATTTTTGGTAAACTAGGCAATTATTTTCAAATACGGGCTAAATGGGCTAAGCCAAATTAAGTTTTAGTTTAAAATTTTAAATTGATTAGATTTACATCAAATATTTTGATTTTGGTTGGCTTATAATGTGGTATAGGCTAAATTATAGACTTAATCTTTTCTGTATTTAAAAATTCAAGAGACTGACTAAGACCTATTACCTTTGTTCTTTCCTTGGGACAGACATGTCTAGCCCAGTTAGGCTAGTACGTTGGTATCGGATCTGATGTCCTCTCCAAGGTATCTATGAGAGAGATACCCTTGAGTCGGGAAGATCATTGTGCACAGGATACAATGATGGCGTTAGCCAATGGGGTGTGTGTGCACAGTGACAGCATAACAATTAGAGAGAGAATGTGTGTACCTTTTAGGATTTGCCCTGGTATTTATAGAGGTTACCTGCAGATAGCTTGGATAGCTATGCTGACACATCAAGTGGGTAGCTATGCTGACACATCAAGTGGATAGCTGTGCTGACTCATCAGCTTTTGGATTGCCCCTTGTTGGGCTTGTTACTTAATGGGCCCATCGTATGGGTTCATAACAACCTTATTTAAGTTTATCAAGCCATCAATATTCACCAATAATTTTAAAAATAAAATTTTTATTTTATTAATTAAAAGTATTTTAATAATTATTTCTTTTATTTTAATTAAAATATATGATACAATATAGGTTCCACCTTTTTAAAAGTCCAAACTTGGCTATTTTATTAAATATCCGGTTTGACATAAGTCAGGCTACAGGTCCTGTAATTAGGGGTGTAAATAGGCTAGGCCGGCCTACAGGGGTCTACAGCCTAGTATATATTAGGTCAGACTTGGCCTATTACAAATAGTAAAATAGAATACGCCTAGACTTTTAAAAAAAATCTATTTAGAAAATAGGCCATAGACTTTTTTGTACATGTCAGGCCTATAAGCCTACAGGTCGGCTCATATCATATTATTTATTTTAAATAAAATAAATAAAATAATGATTTTATTTATTTTAAATAATTAAGTAATATCATTTTAGTTATTCTTTTAATTGTTAAATGTTTAATATGCTTAATCAGGCTAACAGGCATAGACCAAGGCTTTTATTTTTTAAATATAGGTCAAGCCAGACTTATAATTTAAGACTTATAATTTAAGTTGCGATCGAATGGATTCTTTTGCAATATCAGTTATGCCGCTCGATTGCAATGGAAGACATAGTGGAAGATTTTGATATCATTTGATAAGAACCGTTGGATGTACCACCCAAAAAACTAGCTTAAAAGGTATGAGTGTTCAAGGCCTCATACACTTCACATTAATTACCCATACAACCAATATGGAACTCCAAGTCAAATGATCCATCGTTTGCTTGTCCATTGTCCCATACAATGTCGAAAGCATGAAATTTCTATTTAGAAACACAACATATATTTATGTTGTTCATATCTTGTGATTCCTATTCGATCTAAGTGATGGCGGTTTGTCTCATAATAAAATCTTGAACAACATGCAACCTTCTTACATGAAAACAAGCAGACAGGACTTTTAGTGATGGGTGGGTAGCATTGACCCTTTATTGGGAGTTGATCAAATTGAGTCTCATGGTGCCGGGACTCATCAAATTCTGTATTTGATCCTGTCAATAATTTGGGTGTAATGCGAGCATGGGCATAGCCACTAAGGGTCAAGCCAAGCTTACACCAGCATCTTCTTTTTCACATAATCTAAAAAAGCTCAATTTCCCTCTTTGTTTAACAATGAAAAGTTATGTACGAATCTTCAATTTCTCTCTGGGGCCAGTTATCGTAATCTTACGTGGGTTGAAAAGAAAAACTTATTATAGTCCTAACACAGTAACATGGATTCCTTTACACAAATCAGTGACTAATTACCAAAAAGAAGAGCCAGTCCTTGAGCTTATCAAATTTGGGATGACAACTCATATCGGATAGAAACATTCTCAAGACCAAAAAGGTAAGGTGGGATGAAAATAGCCTTTGTTTCGTCGGATCAAGCATGCAAGTTTGTGAATCTCCTTTGATTCCCCAACCTCATTCCATTGAAGTCCCTTTTACGTAAATTGAACTATTTAGCTTTTGTTATTTGTGTAAAGCTTTTAATTTCACAAATAATGTTTTGGATTAAAGACTTTATTCAATGTTAAATTATTTTATTCTAACTTCAAATAAAAATAACTTAGTAAGATATTTAATTATATAAAATCTATAAATAAACTATCAATATAAACATTTGAGTATTTAATATTTGAATTAATAATAATAAAAAAAACACTCAGCTCTAAGAAAATTCATCTTTCTTCGATATATATGGTTTATATACAAATTACATTGGGAAACATACTCCTCAACCTCCGATAAGCTTTTGTTCATCGGGGTGGCATCTTTCAAGTACTTACAATTAGTAAAATTTACAATTGCAAACAAAAGCTAACATCTAAACTCTTAGACACTATCGCAAAATTTACCACCCATTCTGTTCTGAACAGCTTTCACTGCAGCAACTCTAGCAGCAGTGGCAGCCCTGTTTGCAGCGATTACTGCTTTGTTCACCTGGTCATCCTTCCGCTGAAGGTTTATGGCATTTTCTGCTGTTTTCCTAGCAGCCTACAATTTGACCCCCCAAAAAGAAAACATGTGTGAGAAACAGCACTATCATTTCTAAAGGGATTATAATTATAGGAAGAAAGGCAACAATAACATGTCATATTAAATGTTAATTAAGGCCAAAAAAAGTGAATGTTAATCACAAAATACCTGAACTGCTCCAAGGATAGCATCAGTTGGTGGTAGAGAGTGCTTGAGGTTGCCAGCATCCCATTCACCACATCTTCGGTCACCGTTTCGAAAAGTATACACACCATAACCTTGCCTACGACCTTCATGCCATGCTCCCTCGTAACAGTGGCCATTGGCAAAGTGATAGACCCCAAATCCATGTATTTTGTCTCCAAAATACTCTCCAGTATATCTATCTCCATTTCTACAGAAAAATATAGCATAAAGTGGGCTTATTTGGTAAAAGTAACCAAAAAACCAGAACCGTCTATAGTCTATTATAGCTTTTCCCAATAAACTATACTATAGCGAATAGTCAATGGACATTAACAAGGACTTGAAAAGATACCAATTTATGATTTAATTTTTGTCAAACAAAGTATTGTTGAACAAGAGACATGGATCAATGTTTGAAATATAAGAAAATTCAGCAACTTAGACATCCAAAGTCTTCAATACACAATTAATTTCATTGACACACAAACGCATAGGAGGATATAACTGCAACTTGGTACTCCAACAAAGCCTCGTTTACAAATCTAAAGAAAGACAATCATGGGGGACAAAACAGGAAAAGATTCAATCACGCAACATCAGAAAATCAATCCAAAAATTAACAATGAAATCTAATTGAATTTTGAAAACTAAACACCCTATTTCATCGATGAACATGGATCAGAAAAACTCACCTAAAATGATAACATCCGAGTCCATGCTTGACGCCATACTTAAACTCACCAACATAAGAGCTTCCATCAGAACAGGACTGAACTCCCACACCATGACTCTGTCCATTAAACCATTCACCAGCATAAGAGTCTCCAGTATAGAACTTATAAACCCCATAACCATGCCTCAAACCTTGCCTATAATGACCCTTGTAGCGGCTACCCCTGGCCCAGCTCTCAATTCCATATCCATCATACCTTCCTTCAACCCAATCACCCTCGTATCTACCACTCACAAAGTAATGATAAACCCCACTCCCATTACACTTCCCTCCGTGAAACTCACCCTCGTAAAAATCCCCATTGCTATAAAACTCCACCCCTTCCTTTGCAATCCCCTTCTTCTCATTTGAGTCCTTTCCCACCCCAGTCGTTGAACCGGTTTCCCCGATGAACCACTGAACCGGTTTCGCGCTACCCTTTGAAGAAAAACCGAGCCTTTTCAGGTTCCCGTCCCAGGAATGTTTCAGAACCGAAACGCTTCTTTGGATCAAGACCTTGTTTCTGTTCACTAAGTAGAGCGCCACGGCGACAAAAATCAGCACAAGCAACACGTTCTCCGTAGTGGATAGTGCCACCGCTTGGGTTCCCAGATAGAAGAAGTAGACGAGGTAGAAGAAAAGCGAGCAGGCGCTGAAGAAGCCAAGAACCGGAGCGGCAGCGACGAACCGGGTCGAACCGGGTTTATTGGTCTTGTTCTTCCTCTTCTTGTACCTGTTCTTCTCGCCTTCCTCTTCGTCGTGAAAATCGTCTTCGTTGACCGAAGAGAGGCTGTGAACGGAGGATCGGGTTGTCGGAGAAGAACAGCGAAGAAGCGAGGATTGGGTTCGGGTGAGCTTGGTTTGGCTCTTCTTCTTCGGAGCTTCCATTGTTGTTGTTTTTTTTTATGGGACCCACACAGAGAGTCTTCAATTCAATCACCGGTAGCGTGAGATTCTCACCACGACGGTTGTTGTTCCCGGTGGCGCCGGCAACATCTCAGGCCACGCACGGTGGCGCACAGCACAAACCAGTGGGAACACTAGGAAACGTCGAAGGTTTTTGTTTTCGTTTTCTCTTTTTTTTACTTTAACTGATTTTGTGTTCTTCGTTCGAATTCAAAGTGAGAGAGAAACAAAACCAGAGTTCGCAGGTTACGATGCAGCTTTTGATTTGAGCCTTGAGTGTTTGTATAGTATATATATACACGGAGAATTGAGAGGTGACGAATTGTAGTAGGAATCATTATGGACCGTTTGATGAAGATCACACGGTGAATGTTGATTAGGGGTTTTTGGCCGTGCGATTGTGGAGAAGTGGTCGTGGTGTTGACGGGAAGATACGGATCAGCACACCTTTTTTTTTTTTATGATTATTATTTTTTTTTTCAAATTTAGTTTAGATAGGAAATATCATACCGCGTGACTCGAACAGTTAGATTTAATTTTAGCCGCATGGCTACTCACCACTGATCATCGTCATGGAGATTCCTGATCTCATAGGGGTTTTAATTCAGGAGCGTTTCGCATAAGGTATTTACTAGTTGATTACCTGTGCGATGCACGGAGAAAAAAAAAATCGGTTTGTTTGTCCCGTAAATGAATTAATAAGAAAATCGATTTGTTCGTATGACATAAACGTGTAACTTTAAAGGTAGGAACAAAAAAAAGAATATAATAATTTAAACACACTAAATTTCATGGTTGACAGCAAAATCTCCATTAAAAAAATATAAATGTCATGTTGACAGCAATATAATAAGAAATATGCCCAACCGATACTCACAACAGTCGTAAAATATCGTCCTCCATACACTATTGGTATTTGCTGCTGTTTGAAATGAATCATAAACAATATATAAATAATATTTGGAAAAGAAAAAATTATTGAAGAGAATTATATAGTTTAGGCAGATGAATAATTCAGAATTACAATGAAAAACCTTTGACTCTGAAAAATGACAAGGGAATAATATACTGATTGTGCCTCGAATACTGAATCTGCATAACAATAAAAAATTAGCAGAAAAATAGGCATAACAACTAAAGGAAATCAACAAAGAAGATTAAAAAATATTTTCTGATAAAAAATTGAGATCTTACCTGATACCAAATAACAATGTTATCTCTTTGTAGAAATAACCAAGTATACTACACTAAACTTTGAAATACTTCCTTGTAGACGATTTTAAAGGTAGTATTTGTAACGCAACCATTTTCATCAAGTATCAACATCTTCAATTCATGTCTGCTCTTTACTCTAGATAGTGCCACATATAATTGCCCATGAGTGAAGACAGACCTAGGAAGATAAATGCCAACATGAGACAGCGACTGTCCTTGACTTTTGTTGATAGTCATCGCAAACGAAACTACCAAGGGGAATTGTCTTCTTTGGAAGTTTACTGGAAATGTATGACCCGATGGGCTGATCGTCATTCTAGGGATTAACACAGTATCTCCTATATTGTTTCCTGTAAGAACAATTGCCTCAACAACATGATTCCCCAACTTTGTAATAAGTAATCTCGTACCGTTGCATAAACCTCTTGATTGATCAATATTTCTCAATAGCATCACCGGTACTTTAACCTTCAAAGTTAATTTATGATCAGGAATCCCCGAACATGAGAATGTATTTAAGATATCAGGGGAGATTTCGCCATCCTCAAGAGATGAATTACCGTCTTGTTTCAAAACCTTATCTGAACTCAATAATGTCCTTTCTTCACCCGGAATCACAGCCATTAGGTGCTTGTTTAACATGGCAACATCGGACAATTTAGGAGTCAGAAGAGCACGTTCTTTAAAGAAAGTAGGATCTAATATATTATCCATCAAATTCGGGTAAACAAAATCAACAATATCTGAAAGTGGATCTTCTGAACCTTTGATCAACAATTCATCTGGAATTGTTATAATAGATTCTCCATCAACATCATCCACAAGATCACCATCTCCTATTTTAAGCAGCCACTCAGAAAATTCTTTTATTTCCAACATATTATTAGTGCTACTTCCAGAATTGAGACGCATGTTCTTGGTCAAAGATAACAGATGACAAAAAAACTCAGTGTGCGGAAATGACAGTGCCGTATTCGAATTGCAGGGTGAAATTAAGAAACATTTGACAAACGTCATTAAGAAAGAAGTCATTTAAAATTTAAAATTGATGGTCAGAACATGTGCGCTTTCACTTTATAATTTTGGGTAATAAAAATTTAAAATTTACAAAATTACTTATTCGTAAAAATATAAAGTTTAAATACTTATTCGGTAATTTAATTATTCTTTTATGTCTGCCACCACAAACGGTCATTTAATTATTCAATTATAAAATTAAAATTCGATTTTCAAAATAAATTCTTTTCCCACCATCCATATTTAAATTCAAAATTTTAAACCATTTCAAATTTCGAATTTTAGATCAGATGACACATTCCAACATAAAAAGCAATTAAATCAGCTGATTTCTTTTTTGATACCAATGTGATGGGCAGTGGGACATTCAATGTCTTGTCTGCCACCACAAATGGTCATTTAATTATTCGATTTAAAGATTAAAATTCGATTTTTAAAACAATTTATTTTCCCACCATCCATATTTAAATTCAAAATTTTAAACCATTTCAAATTTCGAATTTCAGATCAGACGACCAATTCCAACATAAAAAGCAATTAAAACACTTGATTATCCAATTAAAATTTCGAATTTCAAAACCATATTTATTAATTAATTATTCTTTTATGTCTGCCACCACAAACGGTAATTTAATTATTCGATTACAAAATTAAAATTCGATTTTTAAAAGCAATTCTTTTCCCACCATCCATATTTAAATTCAAAATTTTAAACCATTTCAAATTTTGAATTTCAGATCAGACGACTAATTCCAACATAAAAAGCAATTAAAACACCTGATTATCCAATTAAAATTTCGAATTTCAAAACCATATTTATTAATTAATTATTCTTTTATTACTGCCTCCACAAACGGTTATTTAATTATTCAATTACAAAATTAAAATTCAATTTTTAAAAGAAATTATGTTCCCACCATCAATATTTAAATTCAAAATTTTAAACCATTTCAAATTTTGAATTTCAGATCAGACGACCAATTCCAACATAAAAAGCAACTAAAACACTTGATTATCCAATTAAAATTTCGAATTTCAAAACCATATTTATTAATTAATTATTCTTTTATTACTGTCACCACAAACGGTCATTTAATTATTCAATTACAAAATTAAAATTCTATTTTTAAAAGAAATTCTTTTCCCACTATCCATATTTAAATTCAAAATTTTACACTATTTCAAATTTCGAATTTTAGATCAGATGACGCATTCCAACATAAAAAGCAATTAAATCAGCTGATTCCTTTTTAGATACCAATGTGATGGGTAGTGGGACATTCAATGTCTTGTCTGCCACCACAAATGGTCATTTAATTATTCGATTTAAAGATTAAAATTTGATTTTTAAAAGAATTTCTTTTCCCACCATCCATATTTAAATTCAAAATTTTAAACCATCTCAAATTTCGAATTTCAGATCAGACGACAAATTCCAACATAAAAAGCAATTAAAACACTTGATTATCCAATTAAAATTTCAAATTTCAAAACCATATTTATTAACTATTATTCTTTTATGTCTGCCACCACAAACGGTCATTTAATTATTCAATTTCAAAATTAATATTTGATTTTTAAAATAAATTCTTTTCCCACCATCCATATTTAAATTCAAAATTTTAAACCATTTCAAATTTCGAATTTTAGATCAGATTACATATTCCAACATAAAAAGCAATTAAAGCAGCTGATTTCTTTTTGGATACCAATGGATGGGCAGTGGGACATTCAATGTCTTGTCCACCACAAATGGTCATTTAATTATTCGATTTAAAAATTAAAATTCATTTTTTAAAAGAAATTCTTTTTCCACCATCGATATTTAAATTCAAAATTTTAAACCATTTCAAATTTTGAATTTCAGATCACACGACCAAATCCAACATAAAAAGCAATTAAAAAACTTGATTATCCAATTAAAATTTCGAATTTCAAAACCATATTTATTAATTAATTATTCTTTTATGTCTGCCACCACAAACGACCATTTAATTATTCATTTACAAAATTAAAATTTGATTTTTAAAAGAAATTATTTTCCCACTATCCATATTTAAATTCAAAATTTTAAACTATTTCAAATTTCAAATTTTATATCAGATGACGCATTCCAACATAAAAAGCAATTAAATCAGCTGATTTCTTTTTGGATACCAATGTGATGGGCAGTGGGACATTCAATGTCTTGTCTGCCACCACAAATGGTCATTTAATTATTTGATTTAAAGATTAAAATTCGATTTTTAAAAGAATTTCTTTTCCCACCATCCATATTTGAATGTCAAAATTTTAAACGATTTCAAATTTCGAATTTCAGTTCAAACGACCAATTCAGACATAAAAAGCAATTAAAACACTTGATAATCCAATTAAAATTTCGAATTTCCAAACTATATTTATTAATTAATTATTCTTTTATGTGTGCCACCACAAATGGTCATTTAATTATTCGATTACAAAATTAAAATTCGATTTTTAAAATAATTTCTTTTCCCACCATCCATATTTAAATTCAAAATTTTTAACCATTTCATATTTCGAATTTTAGATCAAATGACGCATTCCAACATAAAAATCAATTAAATCAGCTGATTTTTTTTTGGATACCAATGTGATAGGCAGTGTCTGCCACCACAAATGGTCATTTAATTATTTGATTTAAAGATTAAAATTCGATTTTTAAAAGAATTTCTTTTCCCACCATCCATATTTAAATTCAAAATTTTAAATCATTTCAAATTTCAAATTTCAGATAAGGCGACCAATTCCAACATAAAAAGCAATTAAAACACTTGATTATCCAATTAAAATTTCGAATTTGAAAACCATATTTATTAATTAATTATTCTTTTATGTCTGCTACCACAAACGGTCATTTAATTATTCAATTACAAAATTAAAATTCGATTTTAAAAGAAATTCTTTTCCCACCATCCATATTTAAATTCAAAATTTTAAACCATTTCAAATTTCAAATTTCAGATTAGACGACCAATTCTAACATAAAAAGC